ATAAGAAATAAGGTCAACTATGTTTAGATCATTCGGATGATGCATAAAGACGTCATTAGAATACTATTCATTTTTCTAGAAGGATGAAAGTTTCGTTCTTTCATTCTAGAAGCACAAATTATAGGCATTGTGCAATTGAACTGATTGAGTAAGTTTCATCTAAAAAACCTTCTTCAAAAAGCCTAACTAATAAAGTATGTCGGAGAATATCAGAAATAAAATAAAGCTCTCGAAAAGTTCGAGAGTAATTTAAGAATGAATGCAAAGCTTTCTTCATCCAAATTTTTGTTTTATAAATCATACTAAAACCAACAATAAGCATAGCTTGAGCAGATATTTGAGTTGGAACTAACCATTGAACACTAACTATGCCAGTTCGAACAAAAGAAGTGCATACAATTATGTCAAAAACTGTCATGAAGCCTGTTTGTATAAAGCAAGAGAAATTCAAGAAATCTTAGGTATACCGTTGACATGGTATGAAATTTTTCATTACATCCAATATGAAATAATAACATTGAAAATAATAAAAAAAACAAGCTCTCACATATCTCTCGGTTGTAAATAAGAAAATCTATCCGAATTTGTAACCCTTATGGTATCTGATCAATATGAATCATACTATGGAAGAGTTTCATCTGTGATATTTAAAGCAAAATATGTTGTACCTATATAAATTCATTAGTTGTTGTCGAATAGATACTAGACAATATGCTCCTACTAATCCAACAATTAAAACCAGTACAATATAATTGTATCAAAAGCAATAAAGTGCAATGAATTGTTTGAAATATCAATGAATTGTATTCTTTAGCTGATGCATCGATTAAGAATAATCCGATAATATGGATAATCATGCTTGAAATAGTTTGTAGGAAAGGGTCATTTTGTTGTAATAAGATAAATAGGCTTTTTTTTATTACATAATATAATTTGTTTTAGCTTACACAATAAAGTGAATACGATCATCCTTCACACGCTTACATCATATTTCGAACATTAATGAAAACGAATAGATAACATTACATCTTATTCGGTTTCAATTTTTAATAGATATTTTTATGGTTCAAAAGAAATAATAAAATCGTTCTCCTATATACAAGATTAATATATTTCTTGATAGTAATATTTATTTTTCTTCGAATATTTCAATTATTAATAAAAGTAAGAACATGTTCTTGTAGTATACTGTCATCTGTATTTTATAAACTTTCATTGGTGAAATATCTTTTATGTCGCTATCATCGATTGATGATTCTTATCATGAGACCTTAACTCATTTTCTAAATCCAAAAAAACAAATAGTCATTGAGTTTTTTGAAGTCGTGTTCGATTAAATTATTGATATGAATGATCCATCATTTTCATCTGAAAATGTTCATGCTGCAACATGTTGTTCATCATCATCAACACCACCAATGCCAATGTTGACAACAGATGATTATCTTGATGGTCTTCATTGTGTACATGAAGCACAGAAAGTAAATGCAACACCAGAAGAAATTATATTTAAATTACGTCTTTATCTTGAAGATAAAGTTGGTGGTAAAAATGTTTTAAATACAATTTTAACACTTATACGAAATCAAAAAATTGTAGATTTTAATAATCATAAAGAATTTGAATATTGTACGAGTTTATTACCACTTTTTATGGTACTTATTTGTTTAGAAAATTCACTTGTTCAACAAAGATAATAAAGTTTTTTTTTTAGCTTGATTGTTATTGTTAATAACACAGTGATTAATTATTGTGTATGATGGTGAATTTTTTTGTGTATATTCTATTTTAATCAGAAACATTTGTGTACCCGGTCGTAGTGAAACTATTTTTTGTTTCTTGACTTTCAATAAAATTGATCAAAAAGAAATAACGATTGATAATTCGAAATCTATCTGTATGAATCTCAATCGTCATACTTGTCAGCAAAGAAACTTAATATTAGGGAGCTGAAGATCCACAAAAAATGTCTTCGATTCATTGAAAGGAACATTATCTTAATAACAAAGAAAATCAAACAGTTAATTTATAAACAAAATTTGTCAAACCAATAATAACACCAAAATCATCAGCTTTATAAAATAGTCCAAGTTGTATTTACAGAAAGAAGATGAAGCAAGACTATGTTATATGCAACCAATATGAAGATTTACTAATCTATAAATCATCTTGTAATACTAGCTCACTATCTAAGCATATTCATAATTATCAAAATAAAAAAAAAAATGAACCAGCTATTCTAATTCGTGTTAAGCAGAGAATTAAACTTGTTTGTATTGAAGTTGTAGCGTTTGACTGTTGACCATTCAAAACAATGAATGATATCGGTTTTCAAAATCTTGCACAACAATGTTTTAATATTGACCAGTAATTACTTATAGAAAGTGTTGGGTCAACGTTTTTGCGGATCGGATCGATACTCGCAACTTCCTACTTAACGTTTGTCAGATACAAAGAAGAAGAGCTGACATGATTTCTCTATTATATCTGATATGTGATGCAAGAGTCTTTGGAAAAATGTCAAACTCTATTATATCATATTGCCGACTTCTAAATCAAGAAGATTTTTGTTTTTTTAGAACGAGTCTGACGAGGAGGAAAAGCTCAAAACCAAATACCTCTAATAAAATGTTTTGTGACATTTTATCCAACTTGAAAAGTCTGTATTTCTGAATTATTTTGAGTTACACGAGTGGATCAAGTTGAAATAAAAAATACACCAAAATGCAGCACAACCAAAAGCTCTATCGATGTCAGCTTTAGCAAAATTTTTTAGACTTGTCCCTGACTCTTTAATCAAAAATGTTTGAAAAACTCATCTCCACATAAATTATGCATGAACCGAATTCCTTTTGCGTTATTTATTCGAAACATTTCAGGATATAGAAATTTAGTACAGATAATAATTCAAAAAACATTTTTTTTAGCATTTCAAGACAGCTGGGCAATAAGAACGACCAACTTATTCAGATTTTTTTTTCAAGAAAAAGCAATATTTTAGTATAAAAGCCAAGAATAAATTTAACTTTCAATACACCGGAAATCAGCCTTGAACGTGTTTTTTTTTTTCATTTCCTGGCTTTGTAGTTGTTCTATGTTTCCTATAATTCTTATCTTTTTCAAACCAATCCTATATAGTCCTACTTTTCAAGCATTTTCTTTATATTCTTATATTTTTTGAAAAAAACCGAAGAGTCTTTTGAAAAGATTCACATGGTCCCTACATGCATGTACTGCTTCGTTTTTTTTTCATTTTCATCAGAATAATGAATAAGTTCTGATGAAATTGACTTAATTTTTTAAAAGTTTTCGCCAGTGAATACATAGCAGACGCCAAACAACAACAAAAATTCACTGTTTGTGATTAAACGTCTTTTTAACAAAACTTTCATAATAGAAAGTGCATATTCACCTTGTAGTGCCTTTCATCCTTTATTACACATAAGATGTTGTTGCACTTTATTGTATGTCATACTACTGAGACAATTAGCTATATATTCTGCCGCTCTTCCCACTTCTATCGTGGGACTTGAGAACGCCTTCACAATGTCTCTTCTTTGCCATACAGTGTGACAGATATCTTATGGTATGTCCATTCCCTTCTCGTGGGCCATGACAGACATACCCGCGATACTAATCTATTGCAGAATTAATATGAAGCACAGCTGACTTTAAGATAGATATGTTTTGTCATTCTTTCATACTGATTGAAATATATTGTGATTAACATTATTTTCCATCGGCAGGCAATATCAGTTGGTGGCAGTTCATAAACCGGTACATATGTTGATGGATTCTCTTTTTGTTACAATCACAGCAGTTCCATCGTGTTTCAAATTTTATTCCAGCTGAGAATGTAAATATTTTGTTAATATACTTTGACGTGTGTCAAATATAGTAATAGTAATGAGAACACATAGTTTGTGCTATAAAAATAAAAACAAAATGCGTTTTTTTTGAAAAACCTTTATTTAGTTCGACGTTGTTTATAATAATCTGAACATGCATGTGTGAAACAGATGAAAAATAAAACGAACTCAGTTTTTTCGTTTCTTTAGAGGAATATTTGATGTGCCACTGTTTCCCATAATTTGAAAGTATTTTTTTGTTCAAGTTCATCAGAACTCTAAAGGTGTCTCATTGAGATAATCAGTGTCCTACATCGTTATAGCAAATCCTATATAAATAATGTTGCTGAATTCCTATATTCTTATAGAGCGGTGCTATGAAGTCCGTACATTTCCTTTCTAATTGAAAAAAGTTAACAGAAAATCTAAAATGCTGCTATCCTATAGTGGAATTGCAAGAACCTTTTTGAAGGTGTTTAGTTTTGAACTTTTCTTCTTCATCAAGTTCATTCTGGAAAAATATGTCTCGTATAAAATTTATGGTTTAGATTTTACTCTTCCTTTCTAATAACTAACATGCGTGTACAACATTCTATTCTATTGTAAACATCTCTTAAATTTAAGTACTAATCAATTATAGGCACGTTGAATTGAGAAAGTATTATAAGAAACGATTATTGATCCATTTTGATCATTTAACTTTCCTGCGATTCGTGAAGAATCAAAACATATCTGAGAATGACCATAAGAAAATTTCGACCTCTGCTGTGTAATGATTCGTGATGTTTGAATATTGAAACATCGTGTATGCTACTTCTATGAGTAGCGGTCACTGTTTATGGTAAAATAATATATTTTCGACAATTCAGATACGTGATAATTCACTTAAACCATTGGGATTACTTTTAACTATAGACGTGTATTTGTTCTCGTTAGTCTGTATAGTATTTATGTTGATTTTGATACATTAGAGTTGATATTAAGGCACATCAAGAATATAAACCTTTTATTTTCTCATAACTCTAAGTGTTGCTTTATTACATAGAATCCAAAATATACAATGATTATTTCAAAATTTTAATCGATATTCTTATAGATAGAATAGAATTTACAACGAGAAAAAATCATGTTTATCATATTGCTTGGATCGTTTTAATAATGACCATACGGATTTTGAGGTGGACGATAGCCAGAACCACCGATACGACCATCACCGTTAAGATCCATACCTGTAACTTTTTCCAATTGGTTCATCAAACCACCACCGCCACCACCGTGAGGTGGAGCAGCTCCGTATCCAGGTGCACCATATTGATTAAATTGTGGAGGATAAGGAGCAGCACCGTATTGGTTATAGTTTGGAGGGTAACCAGGGCCACCATATGCACCATAATTTGGTGGACAGGGTGCACCGCCATATTGATTATATTGTGGAGGATAACCAGGGGCTCCATATTGGTTGTGAGGCGGGGCATGACCATAACCACCACCAACACGTCCATCACCATTGAGATCCATATGTGTAGCTTTTTCTAATTGATTAATCAAACCTCCTCCAGCACCGTGACCTTGTCCATAGCCACCACCATATCCTTGACGACCGTAACCTATTTTTGAAAATTAAAAGTTTTTTTTTTATCAATTATAGTTATGATTAAATAAAGTCACACCTGAACCAACTACACCATCGCCATTTAAATCCATATGTGTTTTTTTTTCAATTTGTTTTGTTATAAAATCTATTCAAAAGAAAATTTGTATAAGTTAGTTTTCTAATAAAATTCAGTTCATTCTGAAGAGTAATGATGCTCAATAAATCATTATGTTGAAAAAAACAACCATTGTCATCTTTTTATTGCTAAAACTCAGAAATCTTTTTTATTCATAAAAAAAATATTCTTGTTTAAAATCTTGATCTTTTTTTTTTATTTTGTTGAATCCCTGCGACAAACTCAGGTCTCGATATTAAGTATGTTTTTATCAACGATTGTCATTTTCAAAATCCTTCATCTCAAAGACACGACAAATTTTTCTTTTTTGTTAGACGTGTCTTTTTCAATAGTTTGTCGCACTAGGTGACGTGCTACAGTAAAGACTGAAATAATAAATACTTCCATAAAATTTCTTATTGGCTCAACGGTCATTCGATAAAAAAAAATAAAAATACAAACTGAAATATAAACTTACTCATGTTTTTTTTGTTGTTGTAGGTGATAGAAAAGCTTAAGAATAATATATGATAACGACGAAGATTGTGTTATTTATACACTTTTCTCTTAAGGCTATGACAGAATGAATGATAAAGCTCGCTCTTTCTTCCTACGCGAGGGCTTTTTTTTCTTTTCTTCCGCTGTCGTTTTTCTTTTTTTTTTCTTCTCTGAGTCAATAACATCTTGCATGACAGATTTGGTATCGGCACTCGCCAATTTTTAACATTATTCTACTTAGTCTCCAGGACGTCATCCGACTACACGCTTTCGTCATTATTTTTTTTCTTTTCATGCATTCTACAAGAATGAATACTAATATGTGAGGTCGTCAAACAAAAGAAAATGAATCATAAGATATTGGCATAGAATATTTCATGTGTCATATTTTTAAGTTGAATTATGTGAATTTATTTTTTGTTTGAAACAGAATAAAGTTAAAAGTAATTTTGATTTAAAGTACAAACACACCTATGATTCATTGTCCTATGCTTGACGTCAATTTGTTCTCAGTCTAGTTTGAATTTCACAAAATATTGACTTTCAGTCAAAACTGATATCAACCTACTCGAGAGTTTTAAATCTGAAATGTAAGAACTATATTGACAAAGTACAATTTTTCATTCATTATTTTGAAATCTTTGGCAAAAAAAAAGTGAAAATATTTGCTCACATTTTTCAAAACAAAAGAAAAGAAATTTCACTGTGATTTGTGAGCTTCATATTTTTTTAATGGGTTTACGGTTGAGTGCGGCAATCCTTTTTTTTCGTTGAATTGTTGAAAAAACTTTCTATTTTAATTATCTCCGTGGTGGTTTCATGTCATGAAGTTGTATCGTGTTCGCCTCGTCAGAGTAAAATATTGATCATGTTGTCAAAAATATCTACCAAGTATTAATAGAATCTCATTTTCCTTTTTGTAATAGTAAATGATTTTTAATAGACTATGAAGATGTTTTACTATAAATATGATTCTTCTTTCACTTGTATCATAAAACTAATATAATTTAAGAGCTTGTAAACTGCTTATGTACAGATTAACATGTAAACCAAATGTGAATGTTACTATGCACGCATTCTTTGGACAAATCAACATTTATACCTTGATAAACGATGTTATTAGTAAATAGAAGTTTAGTAAGTGCAAAAATAAAGAATTTCAAATATGGAAGCCATAGTTTTTGCTTTTTGTCAATTCTTCTATACAATAAATTTCAATAAGAATAAAATAATGATTTGATTGATTTTTATTCCATTCAAATGTGTCTAACATAATTGATGAGGATTCATTGTGCGGCAAGTCATTGAACAGGCTCCTTAGTTCTAAATAATATCGATCAAAGCTAGATACTATGAAAAATATGAAAGATAAATTTCGTTACTTCTTCCAATGACATGAATCGTTCATTTTAATATTTTGTCAATAAGTGACGGAGTACGATGCGATTCGTGAAGAAAACGTCAAATTCTAGGCAATATGTTAATGATTTGTGGTGTCAATATAGATGTTCTCGAAATTTCTTCATGAAGATAAAAAGAAGAAAAAATCGTTTTAAAGTATGAACTACTAACAACATAGACTTAGATGTGTACTTTTCTGAATGGATGATAGTTGCTGAAATGCAATAATACTATATCCCGTATATACTTATATGTATTTATTAAATAACTTGTTATTAGTAGCTAGAGTCGATGTCCTTAAAGCGAACGCATTCCATATAGGTGCATATTCTGACTTGTACATCCAGAACTTTTTACCGTAGGAACAACACAAATCTTGTACCGTGTGATGCAAAGCAACAATTTATAGTTGTTAAAATAGCTGAGTAGTGAATCGTAGAAAGTCAAAAACTGAAAACGTTCGCTTTATGTTCAGTGCCTTGAAGTGAACACATCAGAGCAATATAAGTAAAAGAAGTGAAATCAGTGCCAAATTTGTTCATGTTTGGTTAAGGATTTCTATCATTCGATATTTCATCTTCAACTCTATCGTATTCCAGCGATTTAGCTCAATCAATGCTAATTTGAATTCTTAAATAAATTTTAAAGAACTACTCTGTATTAGCTTTATGTGTATTGTCAATAAAACAAACGCGACAGCTATTTTGCTGAAGACCAAGCATCCCTTAGTCTACTATTCATTTTCCACTGTGTAAGGTCAAAGTTTACAATACTTCTACTGACAAATATCTTCATAATAGTCACAGCTATCACATACTACAGATTCAATTGAAACGAATGAAGAATAAATCCGTGGAAGTGCTTTTTTGTATGTGTTTTCATAAGATCGTATGACATATTGATGATCAACCAATGGTGCCTTTGACTAACTGGACGTCTACCGATTTACTGCTTCTAATAGTAGACAATTATATAGTTAGATATTTGAACCTTTGTATACGGAATTACAGCTCTTCTTTCTCTTCTTTTAAATGTGCTAGAACTATGTACTGCAATTATATTACAGTGAGAAATTCTAGTTGTGATAGATGCATAAAACAAGTGATAGGTGAATTCAACAGGTCCAGCGTCTAGCAAAATGCTAACCTCTTGGGTTAGGATGACATGAATTCGCATCCTGAGATTTTCGGTCCTGTATATCTGCGAAAAACAAGTTGATTCTTTAACTACATAAATCGTATACATATATGTGCTTAGAATATTAGTGTAGCTAAGATTATCTATACTTGCTGACGATTACTAATCGTCCCTTAATGGTTCAAGCAATCATCATATCATTTAATATATCGAAGTATTGGTCAATGTGATGACATTTTTTGGAAAGGAAAATGGTGATTCTCAAAGAGAACTTTTATTTTACAGGAAATCGTTGAGGAGTAACAGTTTTAGGATAGATCCTTATCGAATGATCATATTCGATGAGTAATTTAGAATGCATTTTTTGCCTTAAAAGGTCACTAAGGTGCAAGTTGTTCATGTTCAATTTAAGTATATCAAATTTGCTTCGTATGTTGACTATCGCACAATGACGTCATATTCTTTTTCTTTATCTTCTTGGATATATTCTTCGAAGAATCTTCGAGTAGATTCTTCTCTATCCACAGTTGATATATATATATATAGCCGGCTTTTCCTGTTTTGTTCGAACGAAAACTTGAATTATTTCGGCAGATTCAGTGTTCTTTTTACATTCTCCATCAACTAGAGATGATACAAGTAATTATCAGAAAATATTGCAGTCAGGTGGGAAGTTCAGTTGGTCGACCACCTTCTGAGAGTCCACTTCGACTTATAGCGCAACATATCTCTTCACACATTCCATCAACATCTACTCAAGTAAATCCTATAAGAAAATGTTACATCTGTGCCCACACTATGAGCAGAGTCAAGTCAAGAAACGATACTTCGTATGTGAATATGGGTGGGGTGTGGGTGAGTGTTGATCTGGCTTGATTTGTGGACCTTCTTCTTGTAAAAACTCATTGATAACCATACCCACATCCGCACTGATGCCCACTCTTATATCCACCCTCAAGATAGGGAATGGACCTTGATACACATGAGTGGGCTAGTTATACCAGTTGTGATCTTACGTGTAGGCCCTGTTATATTAAGGTCTTCCGAGTAGCCTCTAACAGCTCGAGCAGGAACTGTCCTGGTATCTGTGACACATGGCCGAGATCCGCAGATTCTTTGGCACATCTCTTGCTTGAGCCATGTGGATGATTTGAGTTTATCTCGTGTGTGCGTGAGTTTTATGCTTGCCATCGCTTCTGGTTACACACGTGTGCGCAAAGAGAATGACCATTCGTACAATCCACGACATAGAGGTTGCCATGACAATCGAAGGATAAACCAATGAGATAATTCAATTGATTCGACTGTATTCCTTGGCCGTTTCCACCAGCAATAACATTTCCCTATGTAGCTTCTTTTGTCCAACGAATAATTCGATAATTCCTGTTTTCAACCAAATACATAGACAGTGCATAATTGATTGACAACAACTCCTAGAGGACCTGATACTTGTGTAAGGCTATTTTCTTCTCCTTGACCATCGGCTACAACAATGCCTTCTTTCGTACCTTCTTCCCATTTCGTTACACCATAAGTTGACCACTTAGACACGTACACTGAATGATCTCGATCAACAAATATGTACCAAAGATCAGAGAGTTGATCGGGGCTATTTTCTTGTCAATTGGCACTAGCAAACATTGTTCCTTCAGTGTCACCAATTCGATATCGTCTTACTTCATATTTCCCACTGTCAACGACATAGAGAGATCCATTCTGATATATTGTCAAACCACTGCAAGAGATATTTGAAATGATTGTTTCTTCACTAGTACCACTTCGAAGAGACCATCAAACTACTCTTCGATTCCCGTTATCGGAGATGATGAGACTGTATGTCGCTCTGTCGAAAATCACATGTAGAAGGCTGTTTAACTGATGAACTCCATTTCCATTCCACAATACGATGATTCAAATGATCAGCAACATAAATCGTTTGATCATTATCGACATACAAACATATAGAATAGAGAGTTGACTGATTCCACTGCCAAATTCATTTCCTTCAGCGACAGTGAGACCATTATGTTTCCGTTGTGCATTCGGATGAACATCAGTCGAACTTGAACGTAGTGGTGATGTTGAAATGAAAAAAATGGGAATTAGAAATAAACATCGACTACATTAAAATGAGGCGCTCGCTTGTTTTGAAAAGTATTTAGTAAAGGTGAGTCATTATTATTTGTTGTTTGGTAAATGCATTTAATAATCAAAATTAAAGAAAAAATTACCGAATAATACATTTTATTTTTTAATTTTGAAACGTTTTGTTAACTACTGTTAATATCATCAGTCAAAATAGGAAAAACAAGGAAAAAGCAGTTATGTTAAGTTATAAAAAGTAGATAAAAAATCAAGTACATTTAAGATAGAGAATAAGAAAATAAAACGTGGACGTGGATGTTGATAAAGAAAATATGTGCATCCAAACCCAAACCTACAATCATACACCCAGAATTCTCAGTTACACTCTAAAAAAAAAGTTTTCTTGTAAACCCATCAAAATAGGTTTCTGAGAGTGCGAAAACCCACATAGGTTTCTCGAACTACCTAAATACATTTCGGGACTAATCTCAGAAACCTTTAAAGAGTTTCATATAGTGACAAAATCAGAAACACTCCGGAAACCTATGTTGATAGGTTTACAAGAAGGCCTTTTTTTCGAGTGTAGAGGGACAGGGAGGAGCTTTCTCCCAAAATATCAGACTTTCTGCCGTAATTTTTTTGATAATACTTTCTGCGAGACTTTTAAAGTTCAGCTCAGCAGAAAGTTCCAGCATTTGCTAGAATAAAATTAAACTGAACATTCTTTCTGTGAAATTTTTTGCAGCAATCGGATACTATTATTTCTGCCAGATTTCTTGTAGAGAGTGGACACTATTTCTACCGAATTTCACGCAAAAAATAAACTTCTTTTAAAAAAAGTCGGCTTTCTGAGAAAAAATTATAGGCTTTGACAAAATTTTAGTCCCCATCCCACTCCGAAAAACAATCGGGAACCCTGGAACCATTCACACTCATCCTCGTTGCAGATTCAATGGATACGTTCGGTAAGAAAAATCAATCAATTAAATATATTTTGGTTCTTCAATATAAAGACATATATTATGATAAATTGTGCAACCGTTTTGCAAACGCTAGGAACAAAGTAAAAGAAATACTCAGACGTTTGTGAGGAAAGAACACAAATGTAATATGGATCCCGCGATTGTCCAGAAACCGTCTTGTGGGACGCTGCAGTAGTTTTATTTTTTATGCCTTAAGCGGTCGGATGTATTAAAGAGAACAAGAAATCAAACGTTACATGGATCTTCAGAACCGTTGCAAATAGAGCATATGATCATAGATTCGAAAGATATTTATCATAAGAATAGAAGTCACAACAAGCTGCAGTAGAGGTTCTCAAACACCACTTAACAAAAGTATATCCTGTATTTTTAAAAATCACATTTATTGACAAAACCAATTTCGTGGTAAAATGGATGACAAAAGCATCGAACGAGAAAGAAGCTGTGTTTAGAGTGACTATGAGCCATGGATTACAGTTCTCGTTGAAAAGGTTATCTCGTTACTGTGTACGGAGTAAAAAACTGTAACTTAAATCTTGAGTAGATAAGTTTTGTTAAAAACTTCTAATATTTAATAAAACAGAGTAAACTTATTTTTTTCTGAAGATACTTGAGTTGAAGTTCTTGATACACCACTTGCCGTAGAAGTGATTTTCTGTTTCTTCAGTGAAATTGATAGATTTCGTAATGATCTCCGTTTCGATGACGTGTGCTTCCATTCGCTGACATCCAAAGGTTCCACCAGCATTGGATATGGTGGCTGAATTTCTCAGAGACGAATAATATGTAAGTCTTGAGCTGGACTTGATTGATCACTTACTTTAAAGTGTCGACCAGGAGGAAGAAGAATTTCATCTTCATGTTTAAAATAAGAATGCTCACGGATTAACTTGTCACTACTGGTTTCAATTGAGAACATTGTTCGTGGACCTGAAGTTCCCACATAAAGTGCAGGCTCCAATACACTAATGGAAAAAGCACAGAAACTTATTGCTCACCATGTCAATTCTGTCCCTTTTGGATAAAAATCACTAAGATCTTCACGAATACACGCCATACAGTTTGATATTCCGTTGGTCTAGAAGATAAGTAAAATGGCTCACATAAATATAAATACTCGTAACTTAGGATAATTTAAAAACACCAGTTAAAAACAACTTCAAATATTTAAACCATAGCCGAAGTTTTGTTCGATCTGTCAGACGTAGTGTTTGGTTGAGAATCATGTATAAGCTGTTTTCAAGCACAACCCATTCCATCATATACAGATAAATGGCGGCGGATTCATCTGGTGTTAGTCCATGTTTTGGTTCTTTCGAATTCATTTTAGCAATACTAATATTTTCTTTCAGTTCATGATCCAGTATGTCTTCCAGTGGTTTGCATGCTTTTTCAATGGACAGCAAAAGCTCACGCTCGTAGCCGAAAATTGGCTTGAACATTTGTTGTGGTTCATCGCGAATGTTGAAAACCAGGCGATGATTGATTGGTTTTGATGCTGCCATGCGTTTATGCGCATTTCTTACTTGTGAATGTCAATGATATTTGATCGTTGTATTTTACTGCACGACGACCTTGCTTTAATAAGTAACGAACTAAACAAATAAACAGCAAAACATCGCTCATGGGAAGAACATTTAAGATATTTTTTTTGCGTTTTAATACTTCATGCACTGCCGAAGTAATTACGAGCACTGTAGATATAAGGAAATGTCTTGTTTACTTAGTATGTTTGTTTGTCGTCGCAAAGAATATGAAAAAAAGAACAGAAAAATTTTACTCACCATCGAAAGCAGTGTGAAGTGAAAGAATTCTCTGTCATTCATAAAAATCATCCATTCTAAATGAAAAATTACAACATTTAAATGAATTAAAATATGTATCGACGCTTGCATGGTATTTTAATGCATAAGATCGCTAGTTTGCTCTATAAATAAGAGAAAAGTTTCCAAATATTCATGAACTCAACATATTATTTTGTGTGTAAAACAATGAAATTATTGTATTATATTAGTTTTATGATTTCTTATATAAAAACTGTGAAACAATATGTGTAAACATTATTGATATCTTCTCTCGTTATACCATCATTATTTTAACTGAAAATTATAGCATTGTCACTGATTTCGTTTTCATTCTACTACAATTACTATATGAAATTAATGTAACAATAACCTGCCAATGACCATCCAGACATATTATGGTTCAAGTTATAACGCAACTGAATCCATGCCATTATCATATCCTTCTATTCAAATTCATGTTAGAAAACTATTGGGCAGGATTTACACTGATGCTAAGAGTCCTTCCATTTCATTATTGAATTCTATTACACAGCAAAAACATCATAGATTCACTTGATAGCAAATGAAAACACCATTCAAAACATAAAGTTTATGTCTAGCACATAGAAAATAATTCAAGAATGAAACACTTGAAATATAGAACAAACAAAAGATATATAATGAATAAAAACATTTTCATTCTTTTCAACTTGTCTACACTATTACTTCAAACATTAAAAAAAGAAAAGAAATATATAGAATGTGGTTGATAAAAAAATTGTTTTTTCTCATAAAATCTTAGAACAATGATTTTATTAATTAAATTAATGCAAAACATCAGAAGTAAAGATAGTCTTTAGGACTTTCGGTATTTGACTTGTTTCCAAACAAACAAAACCTTTTCCTGATGGTAAATTCTGTTGTAAATGTGTTGCTTGTTGTCCTAATGATCCAATAAACATTGCAAAACATTGAACATTCTCATTTGATTGTAACATTTTTCCAAAGACTTTTGGTGATAAACCATATCGTTCAAAATTAGCATCTGATATAACAATAACAAAACGTTCATCAACTGTATCATCTGGTTCTGCTTGTAATGCATCAATAGCTGTTTTCAAAGCAGATAATGTATTATCACCAGAACTACAAAACATTGTATGTGTATACATAAGTTTTAATAATTTTAAACGTTCCTTATTATTTTTTGGTGGTTGATTTTTCCGTACAAGTTCAATTGAATGTTCATCACCTGAATGACCAACAATATCATAAACAAATTTATGTTCAAAGCCAGCTAATGATTCAAGAAACATTAATACACATTCACATTGACGTTCTAAACGATTATCAACACCATTAAAACGATACATTGATGCAGATAAATCAACAACTAAACGAAGACGTTTAGCTTTTGTTTGAGGACTACCAGGTTCAGGTGGAACATCAGCACGATATTTATATATAGATTTTTCACCAATAATACCCTCAATTAATTTTCTTTCATCCCAATCGCCCGTTGTACGATGACGCTAAAAGAAAAAATTATTAATCTATTGAAAAAAGAAGATATCTTAAATATTTTTACCACCCATTGACGATCGTGTGATTTTGCTTCTAATGATTCAATAATTGAACGAAGCATTTTAATTTCACTTGAAATTTTATTTAAATATTTTTCATAAACTTCATGTTCATATTCAGACATTTCAATTTCTTTTAAACGTTCTTTAAAAACTTTTTGACCTAATTCTCTTGCTGCTTTTCTAATATGTTCAGGTACTGCAGCTTTTACATCATCAGGAACTTGATAAACTTGATGACCACTATCTAGACGATATGGCCCTCCGATACCACCAAGACCTAAGCAATAAAGAAAAAAATCTAGGACTAAAAAAAAATAAACGCCATTAAACATACCTGCAGTATCTCGACCACCACTACCACCAGCCCATTGATTTCCACCGACATGTGGATTATTTTCTGGATCAACTTTTCCATGTTTAGGTCCACTTAAATCAGTTTTTCCACCTTTTAAATATTCAATATCAAGACTATGTTGTCCTGATTGACTTGTATGTTTATGCCAAGCATCTAATGATATTTGTAAATGACTTGGTATGATTTCCCACTGATGAATGTTAGCATGAGCATCAATTGTTATTAATGAACCATCATTATATTGAGCAGCAATAACACCTGAACCAGATTTAATTAACATATGCCATTCATGATGAGATGCTGATGAACGAGTATTTTGTTGTTGTGGACGTTGAATTGGAATATAAGTTATTAAATGATTTTTTAAATCGATTAATTCAATATAAGTAAGAATTGATGAATCAGGCATATTATTTTTTATTCTGAAAATAACAAACTGTAATGAAATGTTTCAAGAAAAATAATCATTGTACATACGTAAATTTGTTATCAATTTCATTTTTAGCATAAAATGAAGCAATTAATGAATGTTGTTTATTAATAAATGTTTGTAATCGTCGTTTTTCATACATTTCTTGTGGTGGTACATCACCAGATGATATGGTTTTCGTTCTTCTAAATCTTTCAACAATAAAATGATTATTTGTATTTGAAATTATTTTTGCTAAATAATCATTTGAACTTGAAAACCATAATGAATTATCATTAAAATATCCACCACTACTAGCTAAACCAATTGTATCAAGATTATGTTGAATCATTGATATATTTGGTTTTTGTTCATTATTTATATTGAAAAGATATGAAGATGAAGATTGTTGAACGTAATCAGTAAGTAACCATTGATCACCAAATGGAATAACATGACGAACTGAAAATGGAAGTTTAATTTGTTGAGATATATTCTTAATAAAATCAATAATATGAATTGAATTATGATTAAGAATATATTGAAGAAGTTGACCATTCGTTGAATTGTATACGGATCGTGATGTAGATGTATTTCGTTGAGAAAGCATTTCATTAAATTTACGAGTTATTGTTTGTGTTAATGGAGAAGATGATGAAATCGTTGATTGAATAAGAGAATTTTGACCATTATCTATATTAACTAATGTCCATGATTGACTTGTTAAATCACCAACAACCACTTGTTTTTCATTTCCAGGAATCACATTTAACTAAAATAAAAAAGATAAATGGAAGTTATAAAATAAACATGATCTGATATATATATATATATATATTCACTTGATAGTTTGGTGTAGTAAATTGATTTGTATTATCAGTAAATATCGAATGTAAATCAATTTTTTTTGCTTGATTTTCACCTAATTTAAATATCCATAATGAAAGTGGATTACCAGTTAATATAAGTACAGATTTATTTTCATTTAAAACATTAAGATCATGTACATAAGTTGTTTCATCTAACGGTAAACGATATTTATAAATTAATTCAGAAAAATTTTGTGTTCTTAAATCAGTTCGGTTAATTGATTGAATAATTTTCATTGATTGTTTATTTGAGTTTTCATTTAAAATGATCGATGATGATTGTTCAATATTTCCACCATCAGTCATCATAATTTGCCATGTTTCTTGTTTCGGAATAAGTTTTAATGGATGACTTATAGCTAAATTTACTGTTCGATTTTCAATATGAAATGGTATTCCATAACGATGAAGAATTGTTCGTAGACGATCCATAACATCTGTATTATAATTATCTAAATCAAATACATTACGAATAACATCAGCTAATGAATCATTCGGAAACATATTTAAATGTTTAACAATTGAAACAAGTTCACGTAGACTATATGGATATGAAATAATACCATCGATTGATAATTGTCGTAATTCAGTAAATACATCAACTAATTGTTCAAGTTTTTTACGTTCAATATTTGGACCAAAATTTTGTAAAAGTATTATTTCACTTTCACGAGGAGGATTAAGAATTGGAAATGTTGAAAAATGATCACCTAAACTTAAGAAAAAACTGAACAAAAGAAAAGAAAATTTTATTCAAAAAAACAAAATCTAACATGTAAAGGATTAACTTACTCATTTCCAAGAAATGGAAATCCAGGTCTATTAGCTAAAACAATCATTCGAAAATTTGGATGTGTTCGAATAATCATATTCGATGGTATTGTTGTTATATTTCCTGTTTCTTTTGGATAAACATGTCTTCCATCAGTTAAAAACATTGAACCACTTTCAATCAATGATTTTAAAATACCCGTAACATTTGTTGGAGCTTTATCAGCTTCATCAATAACTGCAACTGAACCTTCTTTGATTGCTTTTATTAATGGACTATCTTCATATACAATTCGACCATTAATTATATTCGCTTGAATTGTTAAACTTTGGACAGTTGTATCACCTGAAATAAAAAAATTTTCTTGAAAATAATTTTAAAGATTTTTATTTACGATGAAGTTGAATGTATTCACGAGGTAATTTTAATGTTTGAAGATAATGATCAACAATACGATTTTTTGCTACTCTATATATATATATATATATATATGAGAGAAACAAAAAACAATCAAACTTTTAAATATGAAGAAAATGAATCAAATTTACCCTTGAGGTCCAATTAATAATAAATGTTCACCTAATAAAAATGATTCATGCATTTGTTGAATAATTTCACTATGAATTGGATTTTCATAAAAAATTGTAAAAGGAACTTTTGCTGCATGTTCAAATGATGATTTTAATGAATCACTATTATTCATAGTTGAGTCTTTCCAATTGATCTTTGACATTATTGTCTGTTCATTTACTTCTAGACCGGATTTGTTTAATGCTTCATAAAAAGCATCTTGAACAAGTCTTGGAAGAAATGGTGCAGATGTTTGTCGAATTAATTGATCACGTAATTGAATATGATAATTCGTTGTATTTTGTTTTAAATGTTTAGCAATACGTAAAACATTACGTGTTGATAATGATTGTGCAACAGTTTTTAATTGTGTTTCAGTAGAATTTCTTAATTCATGAACAAATTGAAGAAGATGTTCAATAGCTGGAATTGATTTATTCGATGAAGATAAATATGAATAAACAATTTGACGTTCTTCAGTTAAATTTAATGAACGCATTTGATGATATAAAAATAAATTTAATGTTTCAGCATTTAACCAATTTTGTTCACTTGAAGATATTTTTGAAGAACTTTCACTAGATCCAATATTACTACCAGATGGCGGTTCAGCAAGAGCAATTATACGAAATGATGGATGAATTCGACGAAGATTTTTTGATGGATTTTCTAAATGATCATATCGATCATGACTATAAAAAAAAAAGCCAATAAATCGAATATAAAATAGTTCCTTTTTTTTTCATATTTGCATTATTTACCGAAGAAGACGAGTTCCATCAGGTAAAAAAAGTTCACGATCATGAATAAGTCTTTGTAATGAAACTAATGTATCATTATTTAAACGATGTATACCGTCGAGTACAAGTAATCGACCATGAATAGCTGCTTGTACTAATGGAGTATTTTGCCATAAAGTATCACCATTTTCATTAGTAATACGTTGTTGTAATAATTCACGTGCTGATAAATCTTTATAAAGTACAAAATATTCAATTGGATAATTAAGTAATGAAGCAAATTGATCAATAATTAAACTTTTTCCACAACCTTTTGGACCAATTAAACATATATCTCCAATAGAATGACTTAACATTAAATCAGAAAGAAGTTGATCATGATAAGAAGTACTAATGAATGTTGGTGGAGTAATTGGCAATGATGTATCATGAGCTGGTACCTAAATATAATAATTCACTAATCATTTTTTTAAATAGTTTTTAAAATTATTTAGAATCGAATCATTGAAGATGTTTATCAAACTCAATTACAATTGATAAATACAATACCGTTATTTTATATTTTTTGCCATTCATTTCATAATCGACGATAGCTTTTGTTTCTTGTCGATTGATATTAAGAATTTTCTTTGATGATTTTTCTAGTTGTTGTTGAATAGCTAATTTTTTAAATATATGTTGAATAGTTTGTTTTGATTCTTTTGAATTTTTATAAAGAATATCATATGGATAAATACGATGAAGACAATCAGCAAGATTTATATTTGGAACTAATTCAGCTAAACGAACAGAAAGATTAAGACGATCAAATGGAAAATGTATTAATTTAACAGCTTCTAAATCTATTGAATTAATTAATGATGCTAATGAAAGTAAATTTTCAATGAAAAGACCATCAACATTAGGATGAAGTGTTCTAAGAAGATTTGTATGTTCAGTAAATGTTAATGGTACATTACCAATATCACGTAACTATACAGAAAAAAAGATATTATTGTGATAGACAAAAATGAAGAATTGAAAATCGATTTACTTGAAAGCGAGATCGTAATGGTGGATCAAGACTATGTCCTTTATAGTCTGGTAATGGTGGTAATGTTAAAGCAATAACACGAAAATCTTCATGAACACGAATAAAATTCAATTGATCAAGTTGTTCTTTCGTATAGAATTTTAGTAATTCATCAAAACGTTGTGTTGATACTAAAAATTGTCCATTATCTAAATTCATTTCACGATTTTCAAGTAAATTATTTAATATAGGTAAAACATTTCGTTCAGTTTTTTCTAAACCATCTAAAACAAGCGTATGACCATGTATGGCAGCATTAACAGCTGCTTGATTTATAAATAAAGCTGTTTTATTTTGAATTTCTCGTCGTTGTTTTATATCAGAATCAGTTGTATCACGAGTTAATTGTAAATATTGATATGGTTTACGAGTTAATTCAAGATAAGCAAGAATAAGATGACGACGAGTTGGACCAGGTGGACCAACAAATAAAGCGTCTTGTCCAAGTTTATCTTTTTTCATTAACCATTCAAGATGACGAATAAATGATGGTGGAAAAAGATTTTTTTCATAGTAAAATATAGGAATAAGTGATTGATTCTTATCATTTGATGGAGTTACTGGACGTGTGACAGATCCAATTCGAAGAACATCGGTAGTCACCGTACGAATGAATGTCAGACGAAGACATGCCAATTTTTTTGAAACGACGAACATCGAACTTACCTTTCTTAAACAAAAAAGAGATCAAAATTGAAGAATTATACATTATAAAAGTTCTTAAGTACTATCATCATCATTGAACGAAAGCCTTTTTTTTCTGCACATCCAATCGAGAAAGGAGATACTTCTTTTTTTTGTTCCTATTTCCGATTTTTTTTTCAACTTTTCGATATCTTAAACAAAGATAATAAAATAAATAAATTCTTCGTTCAATATGTTGTTTTTTTTCTGTAGCTGCTTGATTATATTATGATAGTTTGCAATTGATTCATCAAGAGACATATGTATAAATCAGTCCGTTTGTTTTCAATCCAAAAAAGAAAAAACACTCTCTACAAAAAAATGTTGATGTTGAAATTACAGACCGACAAACCGGAGTGAAAAAGTTCGGATAGGAAAAAAAGAGATAATAGAACTAGAAACTAAATAAATCACACGTGAATGAGAAAAATTACGCTAGAGACAATAACGAAATACGCATTACACAAACGAAAAAAAAAAACATTGAATGCGCACAGTTTATAAAAAAAAAATGTTAGAATTCACGTGTTTTTGTTTTCTTTTTATTCAGTGGTTTTAAAAAGCAAATAGCAACCTAAAATAAATTAAAAACAAATCAATGAATAGACTAATTAACACAAGAAAATGATAAATATATTTACATGAAAGCCATCATCAGGCAAAAGAGTCCCATAGCTTCGGAAAGAGCAAATCCAAGAATAGCATATGAAAAAAGTTGTTGTTTTAAACTTGGATTACGTGCATAAGCTACTACTAATGAACCAAATACTGTTCCAATACCTAAACAAAATCAAATAGATGATTTGCTAGTTTTATTTATTTTAAAAACCAAAAACAAAATTTTACCTGCACCAGCACCGGCTACACCAACAGTGGCTGCACCAGCTCCAATATATTTAGCTGCTGAATCAATATCACGACGTATAGCCGATGTAGCAATTGTACGTTGAGATGGAACCATTAATGAACTAGCCATACTTAATACTGGCAATTGTTGTTGAAATATAATATGTCGGTTAGCTAATAATTGACCAAGGCGACATAAAGTCGATGGTGATGAAACAGTTAGACGTGTTAATGATGACATTTTTATAATGGATGAATTGAAAACAGATGATTATCTATAGAATCAAAATTTAATATATATAATATTAAAAAAAAAAAAACGCCGAACAATAAAAGCAGCACACAAATATTCTTTGCGTTCTACACCACCAACAGTCTGTGTGCACCGAAAGAAAAAGAAATTGAGAACAGATGTCACTATTTAAAAAAAAAGTAATAAACTCAAAATAAAATTTATTATTCAACAAATATAAACATGGAAATTATTATTGATTGATTTTTACGAATAAATACTGGAAAAAGTTTTTTCTGTTAAGAAGATACTTTTAAATAAAATACGGATCATAAGATATTTAATAATGGATCAGAGAAGTGTATTAATCCTTGCCTTGCTTGACATTTGTTTCTATTTGATTGGCACAGATAGTTTGAACCTAGGTTTTGTTTTCTTTTTATATAAAACGACGATATAGAATTCTATGCAGAGTAAATTAGAAGCTATACATTGATCATCAATGAAAAGTATTCATTAATCTTAAATGCTATTCTGACAAGAATAAATTTTTAATTTAAAATAAAAAATTCTTTTAAATAAATTACGACAGAACATTTTTAAGAAAATATAATTATATTTTTCATAGGACAAAGATTAAAGATTCTTTTTTCTTTGGTTAATATAAAACTAGAAATTTTACTTTCATGTAATTGAGAAAAAAAGGATGTACTTCAATATATGACGGTTATATTAAAGACTCTGAGTATAGGACTTAACACACCGTTCCCATAAGATTAATTTATAGTCTCATGAGAGCTTTATAAGCATTTTTTTCTAATTAAGAAAAATCTTCTCATAATATCTATGAAATTTTTTTTTTTGAAACAAATTTAATGTTTTGAAATCATGTAAAATAGCTGCGCAATATTCTATTTATTTGTTCCGTGAGAAATACGAGAGTTGTAATAAGTTTAATTTTCTTATTTCTATATAAATATGTCAGCAAACTTGCCAATAGACAAATAAAAATCTAGTCGATGAAGAGTAGAACAATTCCATTCAATGACTACAAGTTGTAATACTAACATATGTTATATCTTAACAAACTATGTTGAATTCTCTACTTATATGATTTTTTTTTGAATAATTTATTACGTATGCTTGAGTATTATATTGAATGAAAACAGACAAGGACGTTTATATCTATTTAAATAAATCTTATCTTTTAGAGCAAGATTTTTCATTGAAGTATCATATCGGTTTGTATCTAATTATATATTTTCTTTTTTTAAGATCAGATTTTTTTTTGCTTTGTAAATGACTATCCATCATCAAAAATTATCTTTAAACATTCGAATTGGCTTCATTACTTAATAATTATTCATATTGTACTAGGAAATAGACATGCATAATATGTTCGAAGTAGCACTGTTGTATATAAATAGTTGATATAAAGTGAGTATGCAACTAAAAGACATTTGTTTTTTTTATATAAAATAGGTTTTTATTACAAGTTTGTTATTTTTTTTTCATTTTCCTTTTTCTTTTTTTTTTTGTTCGCATAAAATAAAGATATTTGTCAATAACAGTTAAGAGAACGAAGAAAAAAAGGGAATATAAGGATAAAAAAATCTTGCAACAGAAAGCACATAATTATATAAGTGCTATGTTAGAGAACAATGTTTTTGAGATATTAACAATAAAATGAGGACATCGAACCGATTTGTGTTTGAAATTTGAAAAAAAAATACATGTAAATATTTTGAGAGAGAGAACAAAGAAAATAGATTTTTTATTTTAATTAGAAAAATTCCTACAATATGATAATATTTTCTTTTGACAAATGTGTAAATATTTTTCCTCAATTCGTTTGTAAACAATATTTTGTTTTTTGGTAGTTCTTATTAGGTGATAAATTAGGTGTGAATAGTTTTTTTTTTTCATATGAGTAAAAGGTTGTGTAACCATTCATTCATTTCGTAGAATATATAACTATCTGATACATTAATCATTTATAAGAATTAAGCAAAATGATTAGTCGTGATTTGTAACCACGAGATTGTTCACTATTATTATTGTTCTGTTTCTTATATTGATTATATAATGGTAGATTGTGGGAATCATATACAGACAGCAAAAAAACAAAAAATTTTTTTTTTCTGTTTTCATTTTAGGCAATCATCATCAGTCGATGCCGATGCCCAATGTTTACCTGTTCTTCTTTATTGATAATTATTACTTTACAACTAATATTCATTTTTATTAATCCTTTTATGATCGAATTAGAGTTAATATGACAAGAAACCGCATTGAAAAAAAGATAAGCTTATTTAATATTGTTATCTTGCTTTTAGGAAAAAAATATCTCTTATCAAAAACCGATAAAAATTATTGTCCCTTCATTGAAACATTGTCATTTGGCTCAGATATTGATATTAAATGTAACAATAGTTACTTAATATTTAACGAAACTAATGTGAGTATAAAAAACAGATGTTATTTTCTATCAGGAATATTTACATACGACTAGAGTGATACATTAAAATGGAAATTTGCTAATCAAACATCGATTTGTAATCAAAATGGTGCACAACAAGCTTATATTGATCAATGTGGAATTAGTCGTATTGGTTCAAATTATTTGAAAGTTCCATTAGTAAATACGATATTAAGGTTTCTTGTCATATTAACTCTAATTCGATATAATTCCCTTTTAGAAGTCTTTACAACATGATGAATATGCTTGTATTTATTGTCAAATAGATGTAAGTTAAATAAGTCTATTTGTTTGTAACATACAATATATGTATATTATATTTAGTATAAGCCAATGGCAGCCTTGATTACTGCAGTTCAGTCAGATGAAGGTGAATATATTTTATATATTTTTAATATAACAGCTGCCGGATTAGGTAAAAGAAAAATAATTTCTATTATTGTATTATCATTATTTTATGTAGAACATAACGAGTCATTCGAAATTCTCTGGGCTAAGCGTACTAGTGATGAAATTCGACATTCATTTAATTATTGGTTCTCACAAAGGTATATCGAACTTTGAAAAAAAAAAATTCAAATATATACATATTGATTCCTATAGATGTATTAATACCCTAGTAACAATTATTCAAAATACTGGTCATACAATAATATTTACTGCAGATGATGTAGCTATTAATCGAGTTGAATTTATTATTCGTCGTTGCAATGGCGTAAGTATTTAATAGAAAACATTATGAATTTCATTAATATTTATATGAAATATAGACTTGTCGAAATTATGATGAATGTCCTGAAAAAGAATTTCTTAAAGATATTGATTCAAATCATTTACAAATTCCTGATTCAATTGAAAAACTAAGTTGTGATTCTGATTGTTTAAATGATATTTTTACAACAACAATAACTGGCATGAAAAATAATATTTAATAAAGAAAAGAAAATAATCAACTTTGACTTTTTTTTTAGATCTTTCTCCTATAGCCTCACAAATAATTTCTTCGTCAACACCTGAAACATCATTAAGCGCAGAACAGACAATTGAAATTATAATTTTAGTAGTAACAAGTGGATTATTATTACTAATTGTATTAATTATAATCATACTTTATATAGGATATAAAATAAAAAGTAAATATCGTATTTAGATTTGATTATTATAAAAAAAAATACTAATAATTTAGAAAGAACATATATTTATTCAAAAACAAGTAATGTTAATCCAGATGAATATAAATGAAGCATGGTGCTCTCATTTGTCCCCCATATTATTATTCCTTTTTTTGTCAGATGTCAGTTCGATTTGATCTTGCCATCGACTGAACATATGTTTGTGACATCATAATAGAGGATAAAATATTTTGTTTTATTTTTTATTATATGTATATATTTGTTAATACACTGGTTTTTCTATTTCATTCTGTTGTATAGTTTTAAAAGAGATAATTTATGTTACACACAAAACGAATTATATATCAACGAGCAAATCTTTTTTTTTTGTTTTTGTCTCAATAAATCTCTTTTTTTTGTTTATTTTAGATTATCTTTAAAATAGGTTTTATGTAGATATATGAAAATGATGATAGATGGTATTGAATAACACATATGACAACATTGAACTTGTGCGCCATAGAAAACAATACGATTAATGCTATGAACCTCTTATTTCTCTTCTTTCAAAAAAAAAAAAAAAAAAAAAGAGGAAAGCATCAAAATTAGACAAACGTAATTCTATTCGATTGTAAATTGACAAGAGCCAGATGCGTAAAAAGCAATGTTGCAAAAAAGAAGTTGACAGAAAAATGCTAAGCTATGTTTGTCATTAAAAATATCTTTGTGCATACTCATGCGTGATGAACAACATTTTTTTTCTCTATAATAAAAGTCTTATGAAGGTATATGCATTTAAAAACATGTTATATATGCATTTCTGAAGTAGCGTACTTCATCATTAAGGAAAAAAACCTAATGAGGGTATAATAATGGTAAGCAAAAGCATTTCAGGAAAAACACCCCTTGACAGATTTGCAGGAAGATAAATAAAAAAAAGTAACGTAAAACGCACAATAACAGAATTCAACAATGACAGAAGACTTTCCTCAATATTTCATTGATGATGTCGAAGACAAAAGTAACTCGTTTTCTTCTTCTTTTTTTCTGTTTTCTTCTTCTCATTCATTCGTCAGTAGTGAATTTTTCTCCGTCTATTCTTTGCCGCCGTATTACATCAAGTATTATATGAGGAATATACATAAACCCGGGGCTTTGTCGCATAGTCGTCATCATCATTGACGGTTCTCCTTATTTTTTCCTTTCCTCCTGCTGTTGTGCCTACATATTTTTCTATCTTTTTTTTCTCTCAACACTAGTATTACTGTTGCTTCTATATTTCAATAAGTAGACTGTGACGCCCTCGATGACATCGTTTTTTCTTTTTTTTTCTTTCATCACTCTTTCCCTCTTATTATCATAAAAGTCATGGTATACAACCCTCTTTCATGTCAATTTTTTATTTGCGTCATTCTTGGAAATTTTCTCAGGTTTCTTTTTATTATATTTCTAGCTTAACAATGCATATAGAAAATATAAGAGAACATTGTCTATTAATAATGAAGAGATGTCAACTTAAATCCATTTGCTTTCTATATGAGGATGATTCTTTTGACAACCAGCCATTATAATGCGATGTGAATAGATTTTTCTTTTTGAAAAGCTAAGGTATTAGACAGTTGTCACATTATGCTGATAACTTCGCATCTTATTTCTCTAATATACCTTTGTTTTTTTTACCCTTTTAAAAATATCCAATAGAATCATTATCAAATTGTCATAAATTTGAATGCAGATCTAAAGGTCATTAGGTTTTAAGCATTACAGAGTTAAAAAGTCAAATGAATAACTAAAAAAGAAACATTATAAAATCTATCACAAACACGTCTGACTTTTGCATATCTATCTACGTAAGCAACTATGTCTTTTCCAGGATATAGATTATTGAATTGTTTGATAAAGTTTAAGTTCACTCTGACGTATTAATATATAAATTCAATTTTTTTTCTTTTTTCTTTCAGATGAATTCAACATAGAGTGTAATAGCGCACAATCAAAATATTTCTGATATCTAGTTAAGCACCATTATCAGGTAATCAATTACAAAAAGTTAATGAATCATAAAATTAAATCTATCTAATTAGAACTTATCATAGAATGGAAAACCAATTAAGATCTTCATCCAAGAGTAATGCAATTAGTTCAGTTTCGTTATCTAGTGGAGACCGTCGTGGTCGTTATTATTCATTAGGGCACAACGATAATATAAGTCTAGCATCACCATCAAATAATTGTGCCGCAGCTACTGCAAGTGCAACTACAGCTAATACGCTTTGTATGCTTGTTAATAATCGTCGTATTCAACAGCGTTATAAGTTACTAACTGACGGTGTTGTTCAAGTGTGTCGTGTACCTCATGCAAAAAATATTATAGAAAAAATACGTTTTTCACGTTTTCTTCGTCGTTGGGAAGATCATCATATTAATCTTGGACATAGTGAAATAACTTCTACAATAGTTCGTTTTTATACTAATTCATATATATTTAATGAAAGGTTTTGTTTTCTTATTATATAGAATGAAAGTTATATGGATAGATCGATAGCCTATTCAGCAATTGAAGATATATCTGTATGGTCAAAATCGAAAGTTATTGATTCGGATTGTCGATTTTGTATAAGAATTGTTACAAATGATTGTATTTATTTTTTTCAAGTAAAAAAAACGAATTTCATTTTTGAAATACAAATTTAAATGATTATCGCATATTTTCTTGTTTTAGGTTAATACACTTCACTTAAGAGACCAATGGTTCTATTCAATGCAATGGAAAGTAAGTTATTATTGTTATTCTTTTGAATTTTTTTCATATTATTGCACATTTCAATAGCGAAATAAATTAAAATTTGAACGTATTTTACGCTCAGCTAATCGTCCGGAAGTACTTTTAAAAGAAATGATGGTAGTATTGTTTATTGTGTTTTTTAATTAAAAATGTACCAGTATGTGTGTGTTTTCTATAATTAGAATATGATTGATTTTGCCATGACAACACCAATTGAAGATGTCGAAGTTCATCATTTTCCACTTGAAATTATTTCTGAAATTCTGCAACAAGTAAAAAAAATGAAATACTCTTTGTTGTTGTTTTTTTATTAGAAAATCTGTTTTTTTTATTACAGCAAGAATTTAATTTACCACGTTTTGTCCATGAGAATGTGATTGTAGCACTAGCACCATTACTTGAAAAGAATTATCCATCACCAGAAATATGTGATTTTTTCAGTCGAGTATGAATTAAATATATTTGTCTTTTGTTTTTGAAAGTATGTTTTTTTTTCTTTAATTTAGCATTGTCGCGATAGTCCACGCTCGCAAATTGTTATTGAAATGTTTACACCGGTTGTTCAAAGAATTTTAAAACATAATACTGTAAAGTTTTAGAATTGAGATTTAAAGTAAAACATTTATAATTATTTTTAAAGGATTTTGGTAAATATCCACGAATGAGAATATTTATTCAAGAATATCTTCTTGCACTCAATTCCCAAAATGATGGTTTACGTGTTGTACAAGATTTTATAAAACGGTAATGATTTATTTATTTTTATTATTAAAAAAAAAAAGTATTCTTTTTATTTATCTTAGAATACATGGTCCAACGATGATCTGTCCATTTCCACGTGTTCTCTCAAACTTTGTTTCTGTTTGTCTTGCTGCAATTTATAATTTTTTTGAAGATCGAAAAAAGTTAATATTTTAATTATTTCTATTTCATATAGTATATATCTTATTTTTCTTTTTATTAAATAGTTTTCGCTTTGAAGATAAAGAAAGTTGCCGAGCGTATGAAGAAGAAACTGAAAGTCAATTAGTATGTTATACGAAAATGCTACAAACAATGTAAGTATTGCATACATGAGTAGTTTCTTCATTGTACAGCTGAGATTTTTAGTATTTATGATTTATATTGTATATTTGTCCGTAGTAACGGCAATAGGTTGCCTGTCAGAAAACAACTATGGATATATCGCGATAGAATGGCATAGCGTACTGGTTATGGATCAAATAAACGTGTGTTGTTTGTCAGGTTTTTTGCCATTACCATCGGTATTATGCACATTATATCGAACGGTCTACTGGTAGTCTTTGTCCACTTTGAATTACATCGGAAGCTACAAAGTTTTTTTTTTGAAAGGAATCGAATTACACTAATAGATCAGAGAATTGTTATCGATCGAGATATGACTGTCATATAGAAACAAACTTCAATTAAATATTATCGAACAAAACCGATAAAGAAATTTTGCATCGATTTATAAACATGCTATTCTTTTGTTTTTTGTTCTTGTCCGTATAAAATTACATACATCTACTAGTAACCATAAAAAGTACTCGTCGTGCAATTCTTTATCGTCGACATGCATGATGATTCATACACAATTTCTACTTAATATGTTTTCAGACTCCCTCTAACCAATTAGAAAACTTACTATCTATAATAATAATTTTTAATTAATAATTTTCAAGTTAAGTTATTTGTCAGTTAAAATAAATCTTTATACATTTTTTAAAAATCTACTTGTCTTACATTGGTTGTTTGTTTAATAATAACACCCAATCAATTATTTTGTTATTTCCTCTTAAATAAGACATTGTCAATAATAGTAAGGTTTATGAAGGAGCAAAGTACGGAATATATTTACCATTTGCCGCATACGAAGTGTACTATGGAAAGTACTGCGCATTACTTTAGTGTATCAGTAAATAACGTAGATTCTTCGTTCAGTTATACGTTTTCGGAAAATAATATAGGTGATAGAGCACTGTTGTAAAGAGTGTAGACATGATAATACTATATTTATCTTTCGATCTAGGTCAACATTTGATGACTGGCGACCTCATATTGGCTTGCTTCTACAATCCATCCCCTTTCCTGATGAAGCATTAACACACGATCGTTTTATTGAGTAATTAACTTTTTTTTTGTTTGCAAAATTAAATTTTTTTTATATTATTAATTTTCTTTTTTTAAATAGAATATTCAAAAATGTGGTTAAGAATTTCGTTGAAGATACACGATGTGAAGTTCATCAAACAGTATTAGGCATTCGTGAAGGTAAAGAAGGATGGTTTGAAATGTTTTGCTTGGGTGGTATTGCTTGTGATGATGATGGTGAAATGTTTTCATTGATGGTAATTAAAAAAAGACTTTAACAAAAAAAAAAGAAATATTTTCCATTTTTTTAGCTCAGCAAATTAATATCTTGTTGTTGTCGAAAAAAACGATTTTTATTAAGTATTAATAAATTATTACCAGCTTTAATGTTACTAGCATTACGTGAAAGTCAAAGTTCATTAGATGTAAAAATAAAAGTTTTTTTTTTTGAAAAACAAACATAAAATTCATTCCTGATTTGTTTTAGACTTTATGTGCCATGCTTGATTTAGACGCAGTTGAGAATCGTGATAGTAAATTACAATTAATATCCACTTTACAATCAACATCAACCGGTTTAAAAATGTACGCAAAAGTATGTGAAAGACAAATAGCATTAAGAGAATTACAACAAAAAGGTGGCCCAAGAAAATTAACATTACCATCACGTTCAACTGATAACGATTTAGCTAAATTATTATCAAGTGGTTCATTTGGTAATCTTGAATGTTTAAGTTTAGCATTTACAAATGTTACAAGTGCTTGTGCTGAACATTTAATTAAATTGCCAGCTTTAAGATATTTAAATTTATGGTCAACACAAGTCCGTTAGATAAAATGAAAATTTTCATTGAATTTAATTATTTTTTTTATTTTAGTTTGGTGATGCTGGTTTAGAATTAATATCTGAACATTTAAATCGATTACAAGTACTTAATTTATGTGAAACACCAGTGACTGATAAAGGTCTTGCTTATTTAGCATGTAAGGTTATGATATTTGTTAATATTCTTTTTGTTGCATGTTGTTTATTTGGATATTTAGGCATGAAAATGTTAAGAAAACTTAATTTAAATTCAACACATTTATCTCCATTAACATTTGAAGCTTTGAAAGTATAGAATGAATATATAAAAATTTCTTTTATATCTGATTAAAAAACATTAATGAATTATTTTTAGGAAAAATTACCAGCTTTACAAGAATGCGATATACGATATACAGATGCTTGGTAGAAATATGTTCTTATTTTTTGTTTGTTTTTGTTAGTACAATAATCTTCAAATGACAAATCTCGTGCATTATCATCTTCGAATAAAGACATATCAGTCAGATTGATGTCAATTTTATTTTTTATTTTATTGTTCGTTGAACTTTATCCGTGAATGTTTGCTTTCAGTCCGAATTCGTCCTGTGTTCGTGCTTTTTTTTCTTATTTTTGTGCAATGTATGTACGATGAGAAATGCCTTCAACCAAATAACATAACTTTTTTGTTCTTGTTTTTGTCCTTAACGAATTGTTTGTTTATTTTTTGTGCGTTTTTCTTTTGAACTCTGCATCATATTACTGCGTATATTTTTGTGTCGCAGTCACCGGCATGTTTTAACCAATGACTTTCTAAATATGCTTATTTTTTTTTCTCGTTTTTGATCAGTCACTCATTATTGACATTTTTTTTTCGGGTTTTTGTTTTGATACACAAATAATTATAATTAATATTTGCGTATTTAATATACATATATACATATATATATATATTTGTTTTATCTGAAGATGGGTATTCGAGGTTTACAAACGTTTATTGAACAAAAATTAAGTTTACTACATGATATTGAATTACACAATTGTAATGTTTTATTTGATGGTAATTCAATTTACCATCAAATGTATAAAGAATGTCATTTGACTTGTTTATTTGGTGGTGAATATGATAAATTTTATCGTTATTGTAAACAATTATTTGAATCATTTCGTATTTGTCAAATAAAGTATGTATTTAAATTTACATAAAAACTTGTTTTATTTTTATTTTTAATGTTACCTCTGTTTTTTAAAGCGTTATTGTTGTATTTGATGGTGCTCGATTAGATGATCGAAAATTATCTACAGTACTTGAACGATCACAAAGACGTGTTGACTATTCAACTCAAACTAGTGTCAATATTGATTTAAGTCCATTATTATTACGGCAAACATTTATTAATGTACTTGATGAAATGAACATTCCATATATATCAGCATTAGGTGAAGGTGATGATGAATGCGTTTCATTAGCAAATCATCTTGATTGTTATTTAATAGCACGTGATAGTGACTATTATTGTTATAATCTTTCAAAAGGTTACGTACCATTTGATTATGTTGATATAAATCCAATTGAAAAAAATTCATATTATTATTTATCTGCTCAATTATTTACAATAGATTCATTACTTGAAAAATTTGTTGGTTTAAATCATTCTACTCTTTCACTTGCTTTTTGTTTATGTGGAAATGATTATATTAATGGAAATACGCTTGAACCAATACTCAATCATATTTCTACGACGGTAGAAAAATCAGAAAAAAATAAAATTAGTAAAAATAATAAAACAAAACATTGGTTTGTTTTACAATGGATGAGACATTTTGATGATGTTGAAATTGCACTAGAAAAATTACTCCAACCTATTGCAAAAACATTGAAAAAGAAAACTGAAATGCAACTTCGATTAGCACTTCAATCTTATATAAATCCATCGGATACACTTATTTATCGTTTTGCTTTGTTGAAGAATGAAAATCTTCTTAAAAATGCTTATTTTGCTCAATTAGCTCGAGAATACCTTGATAAACTTGACATGGTAATGAAAGCAACAACAACAAAAAAATGAATAATTAAAAATAAAAATAATTTTCTTTTTAGAATGACGAACAAATTCGTATTCATATTGAAAATACTCTCTCGGAAATAAAAAGCAAAAACAACTGTCCAATTCCAGCATTTTTACTTGATAGTTTAACTGATCTTCATTTATCAATAACATTTATTGAAATTCTTATTCATCGTAGTTTTATTTGTGCTGCACATGTTGAACTTGAACGAGAACCATCTATATTTGTTGATGCAATACCAATTGTTTTACCATGTCTAGCAATTTTACTTAAATGGGATAATGAAGAAGATGATAAAAATATTATTCTTTATCATCGTGTTCTTAAACAACTTAAACGATGTAAATATGATCTCACTGACTATGATGAAGTGATTGATCTAAATTATTTGAATTCTTTATCAACTATGGAACGTCAAGATTTTGTTTCAAAGTGTTTAAAGATGTCATCCACACAACGAGAACAATATAATCATATCCATACAGATTATCATTTTTGGTTAATGAGCATCCGCTATTGGTATTCTATTCGTCATCTTACACCTGTTTATCTTTATGCTATAATTATTTCTTTAATAAAATCTATTCATTTAATTAATACTGATACTTTTCAATCAGAAGATATTGAACCATTAACAATATCAATAAATGATAATCGAAATCATACACAAATTGATCCAATTATACGTCGTACAATTGCTTTAAAATTAAACGAGATGTCAAAAAAAGTGTATGATTTTAAAAAATTCGATTGTAGTATTATACATGAATTTAATTGTCTACAAACAATATTTATGTATAGTACACATGTTAATGAATTTCTTAATCGACCATTTAGTTATGAAATTTTTCCACATCATTTTTTATGTGGATCATTTTTCTATGCATTTGTTGAACATTATGAAACAAAAAAGAATTTATCTGATGCATTAAGTAATCTTTTTCAAAAAGAAACAAAACTTTTAAAAATTATTGATAATTTATTTATGACTATTACGTCAGATATTGATTATTAGCAAATTTATTTTCTTTTAAAAGTGGGTTTAATAGTGAACATAAACAAGAAAATCCTGTATAATTTTAGAAGAAAAATAATTCACGTAGGTTTTAAATAAGACTTCTCCGTTTACTAATAGGAACAGATTTTAATATTCAAGAAGGCAAAATAAATATTATGATGGATACATAGTAATATGAACACTCTAGATAATTAAATTATATAACTTGTGTCGAAAGATGAGGGTAAATATCGACATTGTAGACTTAATCAAAATACAACAGATTCATATTACCGTTAAGTCATGATTGAAATCAGAAGTGAAAATGAAGTTTTTTGTTTGAGAAAAGTAGTAATTTCTTGTCTATATTTCTAAAATATATGTCATAGAGAAACTCTTTAAAAGTAACAATCTAAACTTAAATAAAAGCAATTTAACGAACAAAACTTCATATGAAGTTATCAAAAGAAAATGTAAGGCTAACCTTTAACGAAGACAAAATTTTGTTTTTTATCTCTCTTGTGTCTTATATAATATTGACTTTTGAATGATTAACCGAATTATTTTTTATGTTTATTGTTTTAATTTTATTGATATAGAAAATTACTGGTGATGCCATTTTGAAAAACAATCATCGATGAATTTATTTATAACATCATTAACAATCCTCAACTAAACTAATTAATAAAAAATTCAATCATGCTTTTGTTTTGCTAAACAAAAAAAACCGTTTGACAACTAATGTTTTGTTTTTCTAGATGGAGCGACTAAAAAATGGTGATCATATGTTTAATAAATTATATCCCGAAGAATTGTTAAATTTAGCGAATAATGAAGTTGATAAAGCAATATCAAATGCATTAAATTCTTTAATATGTATTCTTTCATCTCCGTTTATATCTCTTACGACAGCAACATCATCATCATCGTCATCATCATCATCATTTCAAAATTTATCAATTTCAACAATAAATCGTTCTCTTCAACCCAATGTTTCAATACGATGTCGATCATCAAGTCGAAATAATAGACGTGAAAAAAAAGTTTCATTTCACCATACAATTCCACGTTGTTCATTACCAGCAACGAAAAATGATCTTGTTCTATATCAATCACGTTTATTATCATATCAACAAACAGATCAGACTAAATCGAGATCTTCTCAAAATGTTAATTCCAATTGTTCAAATCGAACATTTGATGTTCAATATTCATTCAGTCTGAATCAGACATGGTTAACTAAAATCGATAAACAACGACATAATTTAATTAGTATTCAAAACTTTGTCAATGAATTAATTGAACATTCAATTCGAGCAGCTTTTCTTCAAGTTTGTTAAATCTTTTCTTTCATATTTTTACCTTCAGAACGTCTTGTTTTTTTTTTTCTTAAGATTGATTATCAAAATATAACAAATAATAGTACATCAATCTATGAAGATGATACATCTTGTCTTCTTTTTGATTGTTCGCCATCTTATGCTCCTGTCGAACGTTTTCAAATAATTAATTTCTATGTTGATCAATTAATTCATTCGACTATTAAACAATCAATTGAAGATATATCATCTACGAATGAAGACCTTATTGAACGTTTATCAAATCGTTTTACAGAAAATGTCATAAATGATGCTTTATCAACTATAACAATTAATGAAGTAAATTCGAAATCTCTTTTAACTGATGATGAAAAACATTCAAGAAAAAGTAAAAAACGATCTACAGCAACAACAATACGCTTAATAAATAATGAAAATAATGAATCTCAAACAAGTTTATTTCAACAGATACGACATCGTTCATCATCAGCATTTCGTACAATAACTAATAATAATACTAGACGAGAAACAGTTGATTCTATTGTAAATAATCTAGCTCAAAAAATTTACATTGATTCATTCGATGAATTACGACAGTAAATATTGCCTTTAAAAAAAGTTTATTTCATTTTATTTAAACTTTTCTTTTGTTTTAGAATTTTTACGCAAAATAATGGCAAATAATTGTTTTTTTTTGCTTTCTGTTATCTATTGTTAATCATTTGCAGCAAATACGCAACGTCATCTTGTTTTTTTTGTTTATGTCTGTGCATCTAGCATTTTTTATAATTAACTTTGCTTCCATGTCTTATCTTTTTTTCTCCCTATGATTATCAGTCAGATTTATTTCTTTAATTAATTTTATCAGTCACGGAAAAAACATTAATGATTATGTTTTAGATATGCATTTCTTCTGGACTACCGGTCTTCGCTCAACACCAGCAAGTCGTCTTTTATTACTTAAACGACTTCAATCTACAAAAGCTACTACTTCAAATAATCCTAAAACACTTTTTACTTATGGAAAAGATGGACATTATTTTCTTGATCGGATTGATCCAACTGAATCTGTAAGAATCTTTTTACATAAGCAAAGATTTTTTAATCACAATTATAATATAGAGTTTTTCGTAATATTTGAGAAATATTTATTTCCATTTGATTAATCAATATAGAGTGCTTCATAAGCCTTGAGGGTCAACAAAATTAGTTTATATATACAGACAGAAAATAACTCCTAACCAAATGTTTTTATATAAGCCTTGAGTAGTTGTGTGCAGTCTTTCGAATGACACATTATTGGATAACATCTTCTCTTGTAATAATAATAATGTAAACATACGAATGGGAGAATTTATTTTCCGCAATGGATCAAGAAGATATTTTATTAACAAAAACGAAAAAGACTCTTATATTAATTTCATTTAACTATCATGTATTTGTTGTCCATCACTTTTCATGAAGGATCTTCCATCCAACATATTTTTTTGACTACTTCTGATACTGGACAAAGGTACAACCAAGCAGGCTTAAATTTTTATCGCAGATAGAGCACATAAAATGATCAGATACAGATTCGAGGAAAAAAATCAAAAAGAGTTTTAGGGAGAAAAATCCTAATTTCCCATGGGGTCGCATCTTGATGAATTACGACTTCCATCAAATTTTGTCCAGATGAACTGAAAATTTTTCTTAGAGATACTTAAAAATACTTACAGAATAAGTTTTTTAATAAAATCGTGGTTTTAATGAACAGCGAAAGTCAGATCGCTTATACGTCTATACACTGCAATAAACGATACATCTCATAAAAACCGTGATGAGAACGGAGACAACCGTATGTTTTTTCGAAAAAATTTTCCGTAACTATATTTCACAGGGAGTTTTGAGCTTTTTCGAAAATCTTACTTTTTGTTTGTCTTATGAGAAAAATAAGTAAAGGTTCGGATCTACAATCAGAAGTTTTGGTTTCAGAATCCTATAAATTCGGACACAAGGGTGAAAAGTGGAAAGCGACTGATGCTACATCAGGATACGACGATACGGAAAATATTCTTTGAATTTTTTTCTTTGAACACGTATCTCCTTATTTCTGTTGCTGTTGCCGTGGTAAATATTTTAGCCTGATCGGTTGTACCCTTAATTCACCAAATCTCTTAGAAATCCTATTAATCACTACAAATTATTTTTTTATTTCATTTTATGTTCAATCTAGTTTTTAGTTGTTTTCAAACTTGTAAAATGTTTTCCTCGTACTGTTTTCTTTAATATTTCTCATATACCTTCAGTGAACCGTGAGTTAGCAAATTCATCGTCATCTTCTTCATATGAGACTCAATTATTTAATAATGCATCAATAGTTCAATATACTACAATCTTTGTTCTTTAGTTTTTATTCTGCACGCGACATTTTCATATCTTTTGTCTTTTTCAATCAGGTTACTGGGTGCATAGTTTGACTCAGCATCTAACGCATGAATCGTTATAAGCACTGAATGAGATAAATAATTATTGGTTTCTCTCACGCAATGTCTTATGTAGAATTGTTTAGCATCTTATTAAAAAAAGGTCAGGTTGACCCATTGGGAAAATTTATTTTCATATTATTGCAAGAGAAGATAATATCCAATAATATGCTATTTGAAAGACTTCATATAAGTACCCAACGCTCATATAAAAACATTCGTTTGGAGACTAATATAAGAAAATAAGAGTAGATGTTTATTAGAAGAAAATTCTATCAATAAAAACTCTCGGTTAGTATTCTTATTGAATATTATTATTTTGATAAAATAAAGAAAAATTCAAACAAAATTTTATTTTATAGAAATTTTCAAAAATCTTGATTGCCAATCGGGGTGAAATTGCCTGTCGTGTTATTCGAACATGTAAAGCAATGGGCATTAAGACAGTGGCTGTTCACAGTGATGTTGACTCAACTTCGGTAAGTATTTTAAAATGAGATAATTCTGTTTTTTTAATGTTTCTTTTTTATTATTATACAATAGTTATTTGCTAAAATGGCTGATGAAGCCATTTGTATTGGACCCGCTCAAACTAGATTAAGTTATCTTAACGAAGATGTTATATTAGAAGCTGTTAAAAAGACCGGTGCGGAAGCCGTTCATCCCGGTTATGGTTTTCTCTCGGAAAATACAAAATTTGCGAAAAAACTTGTAAGATATTTATTATGTTTTTGTTTTCTTCTCAAATCAATAATTAATTAAATATATTTAGGCTGATCATAATGTTGAATTTATCGGCCCATCAAGTAAATCTATTGAAGCTATGGGTGATAAAATTCACAGTAAAGTAATTGCTCGAAAAGCCAATATTTCTATGATACCTGGTTATGATGGTGAAGTTAAAGATGAAGATGAATGTGTTCGTGCTAGCAATGACATTGGTATTTGATTCTGTTCTTTTCTTTCTTATTTTCATATATATATATATAAATTTATGATTCCATTATTTAAGGTTATCCTGTTATGATTAAAGCATCAGCTGGTGGTGGTGGTAAAGGTATGCGTGTCGCATGGAATGATAAAGAAGCTCGGGAAAATTTTCGATTAAGTAAAAGCGAAGCAGCATCAAGTTTTGGTGATGATCGTATGCTTGTTGAAAAATTTATCGATAATCCACGTCATATTGAATTCCAAGTTTGTTATAAACAATTCAATTTTTTAGAATGAAAAAAAT